TTTGTAATATAAAGGGTGTTAATAAAGTCCGATCCCATGCATTTTTTGGAGCGTGGTTGTTACAAATTCAGCTGGAACTTTTGAACCAGTGAAGTTATTTATTTCAAATTTTTACCATGGGAGGAACAACTAAACGTGTAAGTCATGAGCATCTTAGAGTTGAGATACAAACATTGCATCAGCAGGGGCTTAAACCTACAGAAATTGTGCAAAAATTGGGCTGCAGCCGCAGAACTGTTTGGAAATGGAAGAATAAAAATTTTGTCCACGACAAAAAGCGACCAGGGCGACCCAGAAAGGTGTCACCTACCACAAAAAGAATGATTAAAAACAGACTTTGCAAGAAAACCGGTAGTTCATTACGTAATTGAGCAAGGGAGTTAAATGACTCAAAACGCTATAAAGAGAAGAAGAAGCAAATTAACTGTGTGACCGTGCAAAAATTTGTGAAAACTACGAAGTGGGGTCACACAGCTTACAAACTAACCAAAAAAACCTCTCATGTCACAAAAATATATCGATGACCGTCTGAAATTTGAAGAACTCCTTCAGAAAAGTGCCCATTTGAGTGAAAAAAGACTTGGTGAAGAATTGCGCAGTCACATCCTTTGGACTGACGAATCTATTATTGAACTATATCCAAAATTGAACCAACAAAATGTTCGTTACAGGACAGAAAACAAATCGGATGTACCATCAAGAGCGATCCCAAAATTCGGGCTTAAAGTTATGGTAGCGGGTGGATTTTGTGCACGTTGCGTGACCCCTCTACATATCATACCAAAAGGCAAATCAGTCAATGCAAAGCATTATATGGAAAAAATATTACCTATCTATTTCGATAGCATGGGGAACAAGGAAATATTTCCGAATGAAAGAAAAATAGTTTTCATGCAGGATGGTGCTATAGCCCATACAGCAAAAGCGAGTTTGAGTCTCATCAAGACGCAAGTTTCAACGGTCTGGAGCAAGGGGGTGTGGGCCGCTAACGGCCCAGATTTGAATCCCCTGAAGAACCAGTGGTCCATACTTAAGGAAAATGTATACAAAGAGCCACAACCCCGGACGAGGGAAGAGCTAGTAAAAAAAAGTTCAAGATGTATGGAATTCGATTTCCAGAGGCACATTGGAAAAATTAGCACAGAGCCTTAAACAAAGAGTTGAGGGCATGGTTAAAGTAAATGGTAACAAGACCAAATACTAAGGTAAATATGTCGAACATTTTTTGTAAGTATCACGGGTAGTTTTTTTTATACTAGCCTTCACTTTTTTACAGGAAAAATGGGATCGGACTTTATTAACACCCTGTACTAGAAATATATTACTCGCGTCAATAAAATACCTACTCTCGGTGTGAGTATAATGTCAATAAGGTGAATTTTCACCGAATTGACCTTATACTCACACCCCAATGTACAGTTTGGAAACTGCCAGTTTTCTCCCTGTCCGTACATTGGCTTACGAGAGGAGTAGGGGGGAGGAAGCTGGCTAATGGTGTACTATGTACAACAACTTCATTTCTCTGCTTGTCTAATTTCAGACAAAACGGAGATATTGGCGTCGTGGTGTAAGTGGTCATTGGGTCTGAGGTAATTTTATAATGTGAATATCAATGCAATGTTGTGATATGTAATTAAATATGTAATTAAAGAACACTATGTATTTTACCAATTCAATTAAAACTAAAAATTAAAATGAAACAAAGTAATAACTAACTGAGAATCTTCATCTCGCCGTGGAATCTCCATCGTCCAAGACGTAGTTGGAGTATTGGAAGGTGATTCGTCCGACGAGGAAGAGTTGCCCGACGTTTAATAATAATTTTCTACCCTTGTTAGTTGTATTTTTTGATACAATGTGCATTTACTTGATTTGTGGTAAGTTACAATAGTCTGTGTCACTTGGTTGTATGATTTACCTTGTGTAATCAATTTTAATTTAACAGAATAAAATTGAGTTTGTAGACAAAGAATCTTATTTTATTGTAATCTGCATCATATTTTAAATATTATCGCGTTTAGGGGTGCAACTGGGCAATGATTATAAGACTGAGCCCGTTGCACCCCAAGAAAATCTTCTATAATTAAATAATTGTACAAGGCTATTTTTTTGTATGAGTAGGTTTCACTTTTATTTGGCGTATATAATTTTTATGCTTGTCCACTGACGGGCATAAACACTAGTATAATAATAAATAGAGTCAGATTTTTTCATGATCATAATCTGTCGTTCTGTAGAGTTGAAATCATCTCCAACTAAGTTATCCATTCACTGACAGGCTTATATATGCGTCAGTGAATTTGCAGAAAATAAAATATTTTTACCCTTGGCATTTTACGTATTTTTCGTTCATTCATAGAATTTTTACGCATTCGTTCATTCATAAAATATTTTTTTTTGTAAATAAATGTCGTAACAACCAATATTTTGCACTTTCAAGCCACCCAAAAAAGTGTCCTTATTTTCAAACATAGAACAATGGAAATTAATTGAAAAATTAGCCCAGCAACCTTACTAAACCAGATTCCGTTCTTTAGTTGGTTACTGTCATGTATAATTATAAAATTGAAATCGAGCTAGAAGAGAATTTGACTTTCCAGAAATGTGCCTACACAAACCGACGATGGATCTAGAACTAACATTTAAATTTCAAATCTATACAATCTAAAGTTCGCCTTTAAAACTTGGCAAACCTGGTTTTTTAAATTTATAATACACAGATATGTCTAACTTGTAAATTGTAAAATGAAGTATGATGAAAGATAATGCACTGTAGTTAAGTTATACATGTTTAATAAATAAAAACTGCATAACATAAGAATAAACAAGTGATTACCAAATACATACGAAAACTGTATTCAAATTTATATGTCAATTTGTACAACGAACCCAGGATACAAATATTTGTATCGAGTATTATTTTATTACTGAATTGGAACGTAAGTAAACATTACCTACAAATCCGAAAACCAAAAATTGAAATAAAAAATTTTCTCCGTGAATATATTCAAGCTAGAAAATACATCGGGAAGGAGAGTTTCCCTTATCTAAATTACCATTTTTCAATTAACAAATATATTGTCAAACACTTAGGAAAATAGTTCCTACACAATCAACAAGTGTATTGTACGATGTTATTTTATTTTTATACAAGAATCTACATTCCTGCTTCAATTTCACTTCAAGTACATAAAGTTGCAAGTCAACTTATTTTTCCAAAAATATCTCTATCATTACGACTTTCCAGCTCACCTGATATGCATAAACCATTATTTTACTTTGTAGCCCGTTCCTTGAAAATCTACTTCCTGATACTCTACAATGTCTCGTTTCCTTATTATTTGCAGGGAAAGATAAAACCAAAAATTTTCTCTTATTTTGCTTTCTTTTCTTATTTTTTACTAATGCTGCCTCAACCGTAAAGTGAAATCAGTGGGGTCCAGTTTATTTTTTGGATTGCTTCCTTCATTCTGTCTGCTACAGGGTTTTCTTTCAAAAAATTATTTGGAGAAGGAAAACGTAATTTTGGTTTGCGAAAAAATCTTACGGCAACCTTGGAAACCAAATTTGTACATTTGTAAGTCCTCTTTCAAAATGCGATGTTTAGTATACGTTAAATATTTTTTTTCAAAATGCTTGAGAAATATTGTAACATTTTTGAGTAAGTTTTTTAAATATTAATATTCCAGTCAAACTATTGTCATTTCTTATTGTCATTATATATTTTTTTGTTTTTGATCGTTATCTTGGACGATTGTAGATATCTTAATTAATTTGTCGTTTTCCATTTTAATAAACTTTTAATATATTTAGTTCAATTATTTTTAGACGATTTAATCGAAACCAGTCAACCCTTCCTGATGTCGAACCTCATAACTCTAAAATATGACTCTGAAGGTGGCTATATCCAATACATTACAAAAATTATTTTCAAATTCGCGCTTGAAATGGATTTCAAATATTATCCGTTGGATAGTCACTCCTTCAAGTTTAGAATTCGCGGTTGTAAGTTACAAATTTAAGAAGAATTAGTCGTATACAGGCATAACATAACATTTAATTGTTCTCTTTGCTCTAAGTTTCTTACAATGAGAAAATGCTAAACCTCATGTGGGAGAAACCACCAATCTTTGGGGACCATGACAACCCCAATTTTGACGTTCAATTGGAAAGCTTTTCAGAATCGAAGGCCACATTTCAAGGTAATTTTCATTTGGGATAGTTTGATATTTTTTTAACTTGGGGCACAGTGACACTAATCGTTACAGCTTCTATACTTGATTAGTGCCTCGCAAATTTAATATTTTAGTTAAAACAATCAATTTTACTTATTTCTGAATTTTCCAAATAGACGAGAAATTTGACGAGTTATCCTTCAAACTGATTTTCCGCCGCAAAATTAGCTACCATGTAGTGCAAACATTCATCCCGAGTTTGCTCTTAATAGTCATAACCTGGTTGTGTTTCTTCATGCCGCAACGCCTCGTGGAAGTTCGTGTGGGAATCTGTATGACAATCGTGCTCCCTTTGACCGCAATGCAGGACAGGTACAAAATTCCACGTGTGGTTCTTTATTAACGAAACATAGACCTGCCTATTGCGGTTATTCAACACGAATTCGTAATTGATTATCCAGAAAACCAAGTTTGTTACGTTTTGATTCAATTTTTCCCATTAGAAAATCTCATAACTTGTTAGGAAAAAAAAATATTTCTAACTCTAAGCGCCAAGTATGAATTTGTCTAGGAAATCTAAGAAATTATGAAATCTTTAAAGCATTTATATCTCAAACATAGGCAAAGCTCACCAAAAAGCGCGTACGTCAAAGCTTTAGACATTTGGATGGTTGGCACAATATTTTTCGTCTTTTTAATCCTATTTAAATTGGCGGTGCTAATATGGTAAGAAATTTTAATACTTTTAATTACCCGATTTATTAAATTTGTAGTTTAACATTTGGAAATATATTCTTTGTATAGGTTAAAAAATAGGAAGATGGAGTACGAAAAGGAAACTAAATCATGCCCCTTTTCCATCCAATTACGAAGCGCTGGTCGTTCTTCCAATGCTGAGAATGGATTTTATCCAACAAACACGTTTGAAATTAGCGCGACAAGAAAATTGGAACTAGTTGTGGATTGCATTTCAATTCTGGAAAGACGCGCGTTTCCTTGCTTTTTGATTTTATTTTCCACATTTCTCGCCATCTATTGGGGTTGGGTTGTCGTCTGTTCGGGTTTCTTGAATTGGCCGAGGCAAAATGTGACACTGAATCCTAATTTGTAACGACACCTTTATTAATTTGTACAGGACATATCAATCTCAAGCGTTTCATTGGTTATAATTTGGGTAATTTTATACCGATTAGTTGTTGGTTTATTACCAATGGGTAAACCTGTTCTCAATGATGGATAACGATTTCTACTTGTCCATTCCTGTCACCATTCCTGTACTCCTGAGTGAAATCTAGCAATTATTAGCAATTATTAGGGTTGGTTAAAATTATTACTTGTCGTCAACAATTTTATCACTATAAAGGTAGATAATTAATACCGGATTATTATGAAATTTAGTAAAGGGAGAGTGAGCGATAAATGGAAATTAGTCAAACTTGTAATAAAATTCATGTAAGTAAGGTTCTGTTGGGAATTAGGACGTTTATCAAAAATATGTGTGCAACAAAGATTTAAATTTACAAATGCGCAAGTTTAGTTCCAATCTAAATATTGTTTGATAATATTATCAGCAATTTGACGAATCAGATACATGACCTTATCGGGGCTACTACTGAAATTATTTGGTGGAGAAATGTTAAATTAAAATTTTAATTCATACCCAAAAAAGTTATTGAAAATTACAAGCAAAAATTACACAGCTTAAATTAATATTAATTAAATTGACATGTACGATTTCCAACTTATTTAAATTCAGATACACCAAAAATTCAGCTACCTTGTAGAATTTGTCGGATGGAACACGTTACAGTTTCGGCTTCAAATATTGCTAAATTTCGAATGTGTGGGTTTATAATCACTACGTGGATCATTTGTAGCAAGGCATAATACTTGCCGGGTTTAATATACAACTAAATTTGGCTTTAAAATCTAAACAAGTCATACTTTTCTTTCTTACAACTAAAATTTTATCACGCTGAAATATGTATTGCTCAATCATATTATAAAACTGCATTTCAATATTTCGATAAAAGTTTTGAGGAAAAATATTTATTAGCTTTAAATATCTTGAAGCGTTTGTACCATCACGAGTTTAAAGGTATAATTTATATTATCCTCGGAATGATTAAAGAGTTGGTTTAATACCTTAACTAATTTTAGTCAATTCATACTTGAAACTAGCTAAGAAAGATATCATGTAAAACTATTATCTCTTTGTTTATGTCATGTATTGATTCAATTAAAAAATTAAAGCTTGCTGTCTAACTTAATCAAATTTTGGTTTAAGAACTTCGTAGATTCAAGTCTTTTTTTTAAACGTGCTTTAAAACACCATGCAATCGAGGTAAATTGTTTGGTAGCGAACATGTCAAGTGGTAACGCTAAATGTAATCTGTTTGTTTGTTTTATTAATTCATTTGGGTCAAAAATCATGTTTGTTGTCCAAAGTAGTCAATAGAATAAATCAACCTAAGGAGGAGGGTTCGCGATATTGCGACTCGCAAATACCGTTGAAACTTTTACCATTTCAAGAACTCTTTTTTTAAATATGTTTTTCTGTTTCTGACCCTAATTTCCCAGGAGGTGTGGTCAAATTTTGAAAATCTGGGAATATTTGATTTACCCAATTGTTTAAGGGTTTCCAAAACAGTTTAAATATTTGAAATCGGTTAATAATTGACGGCACAGTGAGAATTTTAATATTTGTCAAAAAGAAGAAAACAAGCTCTAATTTTTTCAACATCGACCATAATAATTTATCGCCACACCACTTTGGCATTTATATTAATTACCGTAGGAAAACTCAGTATTTCCAATAGATAACGAGGAGACCAGGGTTGGCGACGATGCCATCATTATTAGGAGAATGAGACTGAATAGTCCTGTCCAGTGTGTCCGGGGTGACATGGGAAAAAATCCTTCTGAAATATGGGATTGTAGAAGTTTAAAAAAAAATGATTATTTTTTTTTGTAGAAATTAACAAAAAATATAATTACTTACTTTAACCAAGATCGAAACGTGTGTAAGGTTCAGGGTAAGTGTGAAGCCAGTGAATTTCTCAAGTGTTTGGAATTCGTTTTATGCAATTCAGTCAAAGAAGAAGACAATGGGTTGGCAAAAATTAAAGTTATGACGTGCAGTTAGACAAATAAAAAATAAAATTTCCATTGTTGTATAACCTTTGACTGGGTTCTGCCTTTTATATAATTTTTTGGGTACGTGACGGCAAACGACATTGACAAACATACTTGAATTTAATTGCCAGGCCCGACATTGCACTTTTCACAAAGTGCATAAAAATAAATGTATGTATGACGGAAAGAAATGACGCAGGGTGCATTGTAGGAATTTGCTGAATAGAATTATGTAAGTATTTGTAGTTTATATAAATTTTGAAAAAAACACTACGCAGGTAATTGGGGATGATTATTACGCGAAATAATTATGATATTGACCAAGTTGCTACTTTTGCCCAAGAAATAATTAACGAAAATGTATTTCTTTTGAATTATACCCAATTTTCCCGGCAACAAATTATAACCTAAATGGTTAAATTTTTTCATAATGAAGTCAAAATTGATATATTTCTATGGCTAATAAGCTAAAACCGAATAAATAATTAGATTTAGTATGTAAATAAATTGACTACTGGTAATCTTGGATTTTTCAAATTTACGCGGTTGTGTGGAGTTGAGGCATTATGGTATGAATTTGTATTTACATATGTCTCACCTTCCCCTCAACCACGCAAAATTCAAAATTCCTATATCCCCACCATCCACGATTCCTTAAATTTAGGTTTCCCTTAATTCGTGTAATAAATTTTGATACGTCGTATAAAAACTATTCCTGAATCCAAGTAGTAACCTAAAACCTGCTTTTTGTTACAAACTAATTAAAATAGTATAGTATAGTTAGGATTTTCTGCCCCTAAATCTTGATTCTTATCCAAGTCTATTTCGGGTCCCTGGTCATCTTCCAACGATATATTAATTTCAGGGTCAAGTACAAAATTTTCGCTTCACTGAAAAGAATGAGAATAATTGTATTTAATTAATTATTTCATACTACAAATAATTGATTACTATAATTGTAAACACATACCTGACTCAGAAAATAACTGATAATACTCGTTTCTAATTATTAATTTCCTTCATCGCGAGGTTCGAGACACGAATTAATTTTGCCATCCTACCAACTGCGTGGAAATAAAATGGCGGATGAAATCAGGCGTGTTTGAGACAACCGCCACTTCGGTCAGTTGTTGTTTGTTTACCAGGGCGAAATAAAATATTATAGGATGAAAACATTTCATTACAAATAGGTAATGATGACTCAGTTTCACCGTTTGGACTCAAGTTATTCCGCACAGTATTAGGTTTGATAATAATTTTATAACAATAAAATAATAAATGTATTAACCTCTTTTAGGCATATGCATTACCAAATCCGGTAAAAAAATTGGTAATGATTCTTTTACCTCGCTGGTATTAGTCAGGCTTACCAAAATATGGTAAAGAAATTTGTAATGATTTTATTACCAAAATATTTTGAGTGTAAAAATTCAGAACCGTGTATATTTCACTCATAATAAATATTTTGTTGTCCTCTTCCTCTCAATTGAACGCGAAAAGGTAGTTGTTCGTCTTATTTTGTACATATTTCATAACTACGTTTGCCTACATTTCCCTAAATAAATTTCTAGTTAATGTGGCAAATTATTGAATTCTGTATAAATATGTTCCGTCCTTGATTTGTTAGTAAATTAAGAATAAAAACAGTACTGGATTTTGTGGTGAAAATTTTATTTTGAACTTGTTTCGAATTTTGAAGCAACTAAATAATTCAACATTTCAACAATAAATTTTTCCTAGAAATACGTAAAAATTTCAAGCATTTATCAATAAACGGCCTTAAAATTAGTAAAATAACTTTTTGGGTTTAACAGTTTAACAAAATTCAGCTAATTTTGGAACCATGTTGTGAATTTTGTTAATCTGTATGCTGATTTTATTCTGAAAGTCATACAATACATTAGATTTAATTGAACCACAGGAAAATTAAATAAACACTTCGCGTACATTAATTTCCTCGACCAAAATGTTTTGGTGACTACATGCATCCGGTGTAGGAAGTTAATAAGCAGAGCCTTATCAACAATAGAGGGTTGAAAAGAAGAAATTGTTTCGGAAAGTAATTTCATAATTTAGTCTCGCGTTGCAAAACGATTAAAACGAATACCGATGTAGCTGCCACACTATGGGCCAGGGAACATAATTTGTTTCCAATTTTATGTAATAAGTCCGTTTTCCCATGATGGGTTTTCCCAAATTACATATTTTTAGTTATAACCATAGTCCTTGCAAATTATCTGAAATAATTTATAGCCGAATTATAAACAAGCCGTCATAAAATAAAAACAATTAAACAAAATAATTTGGCAACACTAGCAAAAAATCGGAACAGTTTAGGTTTAACTCGATAATAAATATTTAGGTGTATTTTCCAACTCTACTCTACTGGAAAAGATTGTCCTTCAATGTTTTTTACATTTTTCAGAGCTACTTTGATATTAAAACTATTTAATACGTAGAGGTTAAAATTCTCAAAATTTAGTAAACAAATAAATATAGAGTTCCTATAATTTGCACCGTGTTAAGTTTCTAAGCAAGTACTTTAAAAAAATTGCTTTTCAATATATTGATAGAATAAGTATTCTTATTGAAAAATTCGAAATTTTAGCGCCGGTGTGATTATTCTAGAGTGTTTGGTAATTGTTTTGTAATGCTGATTCCATATTGTTGTTTAGGTTTTCTGATAAATAAAAAATAAAAAAAAGAAGCAACCAGTCGGTAAAATCTTAGAAATCTGCGAATATATATTGTTTTCGCAAAGGAGGGTATAGGAATTGCTATGGCCGTTGGGCCACGCCCCCTTAATTAACATTAAGATCCCTGGGCCATGCCTAAAATCGGATATTTCAAAAGTTTCTAATGGAGATTTCTTGCATAATTCAATCTATTATTTTGCAATTATTATTAGCATTGCGGAGCCCGAGAGGGAACTACAAACAAACATAAACTACAAACCCAGGGAATTATACGACATTCTTATATAATTGTCCGACTTAATCGAGTTGAATAAATGCATATATGGTACATACATCTGCAACTTAGTGAGAGGTGCACTCAGCCCGATCGCCAGAGTAGCGCAAGTGGTAGAAGAGTTCTCCGTAGCATGAGAATGCACGAAAGGCTTGAGGAAAGGTTAGGAGTTCAAATCTCCCCCACTACTTGTGGGGGGAATTTGAGGGGAAAACCAATCAGTACAGCTTCGCGGTGCCCGACTTCGGGATTGTTATATAATGGTTGACACTATTTGTTCATATTATCATTTTGTATTATTATCCAACCAGCCTAAAAATTAGGCTGGATGACCCAGAAAGCTTTCCTCCACCACAAAAAGGATGATAGAACACAGACTTCACCAAAAAACTGGAAGTTTACTGAGAATTATTATGTGGACAAAATGTTACCAATATAATTTGATAGCTTGAAGAACAAGGAATTATTTCCAAACGAAAGTAGTTTTCATGTAGGATGGTGCCACAGCCCACACAGCGAAATCAAGCATGAAGGTACAAGCAAGTTTCAAGCGTGTGGAGCAAAGGGGTGTGGCCTGGAAACAGTCCAGATTTTAACAGTCTGGAAAACCTTTGATCCATACTTAAGGTAGAAGTGAACCAAGAATAAGGGAGGAGTTAATAACAAAAGTTTATTTTACGCGTACGACGCCGCCTTGGTAGCACGAACAGCCCAACAGCTACAAGATAAACTCTCCATAGCGGCAAAAACTTTCGAGAATCTTGGCCTCACCCTCAACATCAAGAAAACCAAAGCTATGATCTTTGCAAAAAGACTGCCAAAACGCAAGTACTCGTTCATGTGGAGTGGGAGCCAATTGAAACAGTGGACGAGTTCACATATCTAGGTGTGACCTTCCACAGGACTGGAAATTTCACACGGACAGCAAAATCCGCTGCTGCTGAGAGTACTGCAGCGTACGCAAAAATTCTGCAAATTGCGAGAAAAGCCAAGATCCCACCAATTAACACAGACATTGAACTCTTTGAATCTCTCTCGAAATCCATCCTCTTATACTCTGCCCCAATCTGGTCACTTAACCACCTAGATGACATTGAGAAAGTACACTGTAGTTTCTGGAAAAAATTATTGAAACTCCCCAAGTGCACCCCAGGATATATTATACGACTAGAGACCGGAACCATTCATGCCTCCTATTCCATCATCAAAAGTTCCATCCGGTTTCTTCTACGCCTACTCGAGAAGGAAGACTCAGTCTTTCCTCAGTCAGTGTATTAAATGGCAGCTCAGGTGGGCACCACGTATCGCACAGAGCGAAATAATCCAAAATTATCGGAAACAATTCCACGAGCACTTTTTTAATGAAATTTTTGCGTACTCCGAGTTGTTGAGGGTGAAGGCCAAACATATAAAAAAATTGACGAGCCACGCCCACTTTGGGTGTGGTTTTTTCCTGGTAGGGTTAGAGCCAAATGGCATATCAAAAGTTGTAGCTCATGCGATGGTACATCTGCAGTAAAAATTTCATCTAAATCCGTTCACAAACAACAAAGATATCCAATGGCGAAACTCGGCGACAGTCAAAATGCGACGACTTTAGGGGCGTGGTTCTCCGAAAGGGGCAAGTACAATACTCTGAAAATTATTGTAAATTGTAGTCCCCACTGATCTTAACGAATTCCAAGAAAAACGGAGATCTTGATTCTGCCCCTTTCCAAGCTATAAGCCCGGGAACATTGGGAACATTCATGGCGAAATTGTCCAAAAAGGGTGAAATTTGACATGTATCGCAGTAAAAATCGATATCTAGCTTCAGCCAGGTCTAAAAAGTGCGTCGCAGGTGAAATTTACCCATGTCGTCAGGGAAGCATGTCGACGTGTCGAAATTTCGACATGGAGCTAGAGAGGTGAAATTTAAAACTAATACTCCCCTGCCCTCCAAACTACATATGCAAACACTTTTGATCATGTCGACACGCCATTTCGATAGAAATCGACCTTTTAATGTCCAAGTTTTAATGTCCAACTCTAGCTCCATGTCGAAATTTCGACACGTCGACATGCTTCCCTGACGACATGGGTCAATTTCACCTGCGACGCACTTTTTAGACCTGGCTGAAGCTAGATATCGATTTTTACTGCGATACGACATGTCAAATTTCACCCTTTTTGGACAATTTCGCCATGAATGTTCCCAATGTTCCCGGGCTTATAGCTTGGAAAGGGGCAGAATCAAGATCTCCGTTTTTCTTGGAATTCGTTAAGATCAGTGGGGACTACAATTTACAATAATTTTCAGAGTATTGTACTTGCCCCTTTCGGAGAACCACGCCCCTAAAGTCGTCGCATTTTGACTGTCGCCGAGTTTCGCCATTGGATATCTTTGTTGTTTGTGAACGGATTTAGATGAAATTTTTACTGCAGATGTACCATCGCATGAGCTACAACTTTTGATATGCCATTTGGCTCTAACCCTACCAGGAAAAAACCACACCCAAAGTGGGCGTGGCTCGTCAATTTTTTTATATGTTTGGCCTTCACCCTCAACAACTCGGAGTACGCAAAAATTTCATTAAAAAAGTGCTCGTGGAATTGTTTCCGATAATTTTGGATTATTTCGCTCTGTGGTATCCCACACCCAACAAGAAGCTGGGGAAGAGCACTGAAAAGGGTACTCGCCGAGATTGCTGACGACCATACGCTTGATCTTCCATCAAAATTTCAAGTCGATCGGATGAGTTTAAAAAGATTTATCGTTAGACAGACAGACAGACACAGACGGACATCACGGGTACATAAGTCGATTAAATAAGGTTGAAGAGAGTTATTGCGAGACAGACAGACGGACGGACAACACGGGTGCATAAGCTCTGGGGCTAAAAATATTTTTTAACATGCAAGTTTTTGTAACCACGGTGCATATGCAATACAATTTTCATGAGAAAAATGCTGAAATCAACGCAAAAATACCCTTTTTCAATTCCATCTGGTCCGCCCCCACAATGTCCCGAATTTTTCTACTTATGTTATTTGGACTCTCCAAGAGTTGTTGGATTTATTGATACTGGTTTTAAAAATTCGGGACTTTGTGGGGCCACGATATGATGTCGTGAATATGCATAGCAATTCCTATACCCTCCTTTCCTCAGTAAACTGTAGTTAATTGTTACGCGAGATGTTGTGGTAGCACTTCGTTTTTTAGGACTATTATGAACATTTTTTCGGCAACAAATTATAACCGCAGGTGTAG